AGACCAACGGCCAAACCGAACGCGTCAATGCCCTATTGAAGTGCTATCTGAGGCACTATGTCAGTGCGTACCAGAAGGATTGGGCTAAACTCCTAGACATGGCGCAGTTTTCTTACAATTTGCAAATGAGTGAGTCTACCGGGTGCACACCATTTGAATTGGCGATGGGCCAACAACCCCAAACTCCGCATTCATTGCCAGCTACTTTCCAAGGAAAGAGTTTGGGAGCCTACCATTTTGCCAATCGATGGGAGGAACAACTTGACATTGCCAAGTCCTACTTGGACAAGGCAGCAAAGAAGATGAAAAAGTTTGCCGACTGCAAAAGGCGTCTCACAGACTACAAAGAGGGCGACTTGATCTTGGTGAAATTCGAGCCAAGACAGTTCAATGCACTAAGGGGAGTTCATCAAAACTTAGTGCGGAAATATAAGGGTCTGTTCAAGATCGTTGCCAAGGTGGGAAAGATCTCATACAAGGTGGAGTTGCCTCCACACTTCAAAATCCATACGGTCTTTCATGCAAGTGTCCTCAAGCCATACCATGAGGACAAGAAAGATCCTAGCCGGAACCAATCACGACAGGCACGCATAACTGTCACCGCCTCGCACGACTGAGAGATTGAGGCTATCATAGACTATCAAGCCAAACGGAAGCGAGGTCAACAAGCCAACGCCATGTTCCTTATACATTGGAAGGGACAAATTTTGGAGGAGGTCACATGTGAAAGATATGAAGACTTGTGGCAGTTTAAAGATCAAATCCGAGAGTTTTTGCAACAGTGCACCGCGGTCGTCGCATCAACCGGTGGGGGAGAATGTCATGCCCCGCCACTTTGCCAGTCAAATTTTGCATCCAAATAGGGGCGGAAGAATCTAGAGTTGTGAAGAGGCTTATGGATAACTCTAGAAGCCCTTATATATTTCAAAAAGGCTTTGGAATATCCTAGAATGTGTAGAGAATTCTAGAGAGGGACCAAAGTGTAAATACTTTAGGGACTTGTAAAGTAATTATTAATTACACTTTAGTCCCTAGGTTGTAGTATAAATAGAGGGGGCATTCATTTGCTAAGCATCAACCAGTTGTAAAGCTTTCTTCCAAGTAATACAAAGCCTTCTTCCAATCTTCTCAAATCTTTCTAAGTCTTTGTTTGCACTCTATTAGAGATCCTAGTCTTAAAGGCTTGCTTGAGCTTACAAGATCTTGCAAGAGTAGTGAGTAAGTTGTCAAGCGCTGCACGAGGGTTTAGAGAAATGCCTAAGTCCGTGATATTAAGCTTAGGTGATACATCTGCCTTCCACTATTTCCAGACAATGTCCTTTAGATGAAGAAAATGATCATCAATCCCTGCAGTAGCTGTAAACTCAGACCATAATCTATTAGAAGATTCACAATAAATGAATAAATGTTCTATAGTTTCTAGACACCCTATCCCACAACAAACACACAGTACATTGTCTCACATAGGAATCATTTTCTTCCACAACCTCCAAATGAAGAAAGAGATCCTATATGGCATCCCTTTTACCCAAATATTTTTGAAAAGCTCATTGTGATCTTTGTTCTGTCTCACATAATTCCAGGCAGATTTGATAGAAAATTTTCCTAATCTACTTAACATTCACCAAGGTTTGTCCCATTCTTCGGAATGTAGAGTGAATGTAACATGATTAGCAATATGAGAACACACCTCTTCATTGAACATATTATTCATTAACTCCCAGTTCCAATCTCCTTGACTGTATACTTGATTCAATTCCTCAAGAGGGTGCTCACCCTCATGATTCAAAGGTAGATAATAATGTAAAGCCCCCAACTGGGTCCAGTTATCCCACCATAGAATGGAGTGACCAATCTTAGCTTCCTACTATATTTGTTGGTCTATCATACTTCTTGCTTCGAGCATAAGCTTCCAAACTTGTGATCATCCTTTCCATTCTACAATCTGAGGACCCAAATTTTTGCAATATTTGTTCCATAAAAAATCAGACCACATAGATTTTTGGGTCCTAACGTTCCACCATAATTTAGCAAATAAAGCTTTAGAGACATCAAAAAGAGATCTAGTAGCTAGTCCACCTTCCTCCGTAGGTAAACATATATCCGACCAAGAAACCCAATGTTTATTTCTCCCATTTTCTTTAAAATTCCATAGAAATCTAGCAAAGATTCTATGTAAATCATGGAGTACATGCCTATGAGGATTCATAACAGGCAGGAGATAAATAGGGATACTATTAAGGACAGATTGAATCAAAGCCAATTTACCTCCAAATGATAATAATTTACCCTTTCACACCCGTAGTTTCTTTTGCACTCTTTTGATTAATTATTTGAAATGAATCTTCTGCTTCTTTTCATGACCTATAGGACAACCCAAATAATTGATTGGAAAAGATCCTCTACTGAAACCTGTGACCTCTTCTACCACATCTACATGAGCAATATTTGCCTTTATAAACATGTAACATGCACTTTTCCCTTTGTTGATTAGTTGACCAGATTAAGCTTCATAATCTTCTAATGTATTCATGACCAGCTTTAGAGACACCCTATCAGTTGACACAAATATGATAGTATCATCTGCATAAGCTAAATGATTAATGTTATTAATCCACTTAGGCATTCCATAACCCTTAAAATCTTTGTTGTTAAACAAATCATTCAAGGCCCTAGCTAGCACCTCAGCTGCTAAAATAAATAGAGCAGGTGAAAGAGGATCCCCCTACTTGACACCCCTAGATGAATGAAAGAAGCCATGAGCTTGGCCATTGATGAGTACAGAATACCAATTATTTGCAATAAACCTCCAAACCATATCCACCACATTACAATCAAATCCCATTTTTTCCAGCACCTTAATTAAGAATTGCCAATTTACCCTGTCATAAGCCTTTGCCATGTCTAACTTGATCACCACATTCGCAGTCTTACCCCTTATTTTTATATCAGAAACAATCTTTTGAGCTAGTAAGACATTTTCATATATATTTCTGCCCTTAGAAAGCCTGATTGATTTTTAGAGATAATGAAAGGAAGCACACTTTGCAATTTATCATGTACAATCCTAGATATCACCTTATGAAGGAAATTACTCAAACTAATTGGACTCATATCAGTAAATGATTGAACAAAATCCTTCTTTGTAATAAGCACCAAGTTTGTATCAGTAATGGACTTTGGTAAGGTAAAATCATTAAAAAAAGGCAGTCACCACATCAAAAACATCATTACCAACAATCTCCCAACAAGTTTGAAAGAAAAGGCCAATGAATCTATCAGGACCACTAGCACTGTTACCATTTAGTTTAAATACTACCTTCTTTACCTCTTCCTTAGTAGGACAGACTTTGATAAGCTCATTATTCCCTTCAGAAATTAACTATGGCACATGCATTAGCAAAGTCAGCTCCTCTGCACTATCTTCTACAACAAATTGACCCTTAAAAAAATTGATTGCCTCTTCAACCACCCGATCATTGCCTTCAGTCCATTGCCCATCTTCCTGAAGCATTCTACTCACCGAAAGTCTCTTTCTCCTCCCATTCACTAGGCAGTTAAAGAATCTAGTATTTTTATCTCCTTCAATATACCACTGAAAACTTGCTTTCTGTCTCCAATATTCTTCTTCATAGTGAATATATTTTTGTAGCTCTGCCTGAGACTGCTGAAAAATCATCCTGTTAGGAGTTGTAGGATGTTCTTCAAATAGAGCTTCTTTCAATTTCACAATCTCTTCTCTGATAGCTAGTTTCTTGAAAATGTCACCAAAATTCTCTCTACTCCACCTAGATAGAGCTGTTTTGGTATTTTTCATCTTTTGTTTCAAGTTAATGAACATATCTGTAGAATCCATTGATTTCCAACTATCAATAACAGTTCCAGCTGTTTTGGTATTTTTCATCTTTTGTTTCAAGTTAATGAACATATCTGTAGAATCCATTGATTTCCAACTATCCGTAACAGTTTCTAGAAAACCTTCTTTTTCCACCCAAAACTTCAGGAATCTGAATGGCTTCCTCACATATGAACTTTGACCACCACAAGTTAGAAGAATATGAGCATGGTCAGAGTCAATCCTTTCCAAGTTCTCCATTTCAATGTTACCTGAGAAATCGATAAAAGATTGTTTGACCATAATTCTATCCAATCTCTTAAAAATACACTCCCCATCAATTCTGCCATTCCACCATGTAAAAGGGCTACCCTTGAAATTTATGTCCAGTAGTTCACAGGAATTCATGCAGAAGGCAAAGTTTCCATACTCATGGGGGTATACTGGAAGGCCCCCTATTGTTTCCTCATCACTCATAATGACATTAAAGTCTCCCCCCCACTAACCAGGGCATATTGTAATTGACACCGATGTTATATATATCATCCCACAAGTTGATTCTTTCCAATGCATCACATTTTGCATAAACCATTGTAGCCAAAATAATATCTCCAGTATCTTGAAAATGAAGCTGCAATGTCAATTGTTGATCTGTGTCTGAAATCACCCCAACATGAATATGATCTTGAACAAATACCCATATCTTCCCATTCTGATTGTGAGTTGCATAGGGCATATCCAACTTTCTTTTATACTAGTGAATTTGATTTCCTTCTTGAAAAGGTTCCATTAATGCAATGAAAGTGAAATTATGATGTCTATTTAGCATTTGAATCCTTTGAAATGAATTTTGAGTTCTTACAGATCTCACATTCCAAAATAGAGTCTTCATCTTCATTTAGAAACTGTTTTCACACCCCTCTTAGGATTTATCCTAACAGGTCTACTTTCCACATTAATTTTACCTTTGATTCCTTTAGAACTTGATTTAGCATTTATCCCAACAGTCTTCATTATTTGATCTTCATTGGATGTGTTATTTTTTTCTTCTGAATCTTTTATATCTTCAACCCCATAATTTTTTGATATTGCCTGGAAATCTCCTTCTGTAGTCTGATGGGAAACTAGATTGTGTAAAGTACTAATAGGACTTGATTTTTTGCAGGTCTGACTGATTGCAGGGGCAATATCCAAGTCTCTCTTCCTTGTCACTTCTCCCACTCCCTCTGTAACTGTTACATCTCTTGTGGAATTACTTTCAATTGACAATATTTTCTCACTCCCAACTATTTGTAATGGCTCTTGCAAAGTAGCTAGTTCATCAAGAATATATTCAGGTGACTCTGTATTGACATATCTGTTTGAGCTTATTGCATGTCCTGACTGTTGTGCTAACATTAGGTCTCATTCTTTTTTCTTTAGCCTTCCTTCATCTTGCTCAACTGCTAGCAGATGCAGATTGTCATTCCTGAGGATTATTTCCAGTCCAGTAGTAGTTGCATTCAGTTTTGTTGATTTTATATGTTGTATTGTATTCCCCTCCGTTGTATCTTCCTAAATGTCATTGCCTTTATCTGTTATGTTCTTCTAGTGATTTTCTGTAATATGATTACTTTGAGCAAATGTCTTATTGACCCAATTTTTAGTGGACCTATGTTGTTGATCTTTCTCTTCCATTTGTGTTGCCTTTTCTTTAGTTGTAACTTCATCATCTTCACCATTATCTGTTTCCAGGCCTATTGTATTGCTTGTATTTACTTTACTATACTGTAGCCTTTTCTTGCATGTGCCCCCATAATTTAATGCTGCAAAAGAATTGCATGTACTAACAACTTCCTTTTCTTTTTTTTTGTATCATCATGTCTTTGTTTTGTTGTAGTTTTATTCATGGGAAGCCACTTCTTGAAGTATCTTCCTATCCTAATCAACGGAACTTTAGGCTGCCCCTTTTGTATGTCACTTGCGATAACTTCATTGTTCTCACTCTGCAATTCTGACTTTCTGAGTTCTGGATGCAATACTCTACATACATTCTCATCATGTCCCTGTAATTGGCAATGCTTACAATACTTTGGCAACAAATCATATTATATGTGTATTTCTCCACCCTCGATGTCTTAGTAGCTTCATTCACTACCTCCAGCTCGATGAATTTAGGGAGATCTGCCATTAAATCAACTTGTACCTTGACCTAGCACAACTTGATCGTGTCTTGTTAATCGTGATCATATCTAGATGTAATGGTTTACCTACCGCTGATGCCATTGAGAATATGGATTCCTTAACAAAGAAGGTCGGCTTTAAATCCAGAAAGGAAATCCATGCCATAGCCTCTGTAGTTTCTTCCTCAACACTGAATTTCGCATCATAAATAAGTGGTCTCATCATATATGAATATCCATCCTTTGATAGTATGTAGTAACTTGATTTAGACATCATATTGATAAAGTCATCTTGTCTACTAAAACGCATCAGTATGTGTTTATGTCGTAGTAATCCAATTTTGCATTCCCCTTTTACATCGCATTGTATTGGGATTCGTAGTTGCAATTCTTCAATATCTGGCCATCCATAGGAAAACTTACCAACTACTGCATATTGCAGATTTTCCAATGTGTTCATTCTTTTCACTTCCTCTTCCGTCCAAATCACCTATGTGATTCCATCTTTGTAGCTAAGTTGTTTCACAAGAATAGGTTCCATTGTTGGGTTAATGACTGTTACTGCATTATTTGTCTTAAGAATATCAGCATATTGTCGTGTTTCTGGTAATCCTTCCTTACCATCTTCTGCATTAGGGTTAGGCAATTTTGAATTAGGGCTAGGCAAAGTTATTGGTTGTGGAGCTTTGTGGTGGTGTAATATGGGGAAATAAGTATCTGAGTTGAGTGGAAAAGCCGAGCCTTCACTCATCAAACGCTGGCCGGCGGCCAAATTGGCCATTCCGGTGAGAAATATCTAGGTTGAGAGAACTACGGGTGACCTCTATATCTAAGAAGAACCTATTTAGATTTAGTATAACTAAAATAAAGTAAACTAACAAACTAAATAATTTTAACGAATATAGTTGCATGTGCAAACACTATGAAAGAGTACCAAAAGTTAAATATTTTTTGTTAATAGATATTAATTTTTTATTGAATTTGTATAAGAGCAAAACATATATAAGTTGAAATAGCAAAAAAATAATATAAAGATAATTAGTGTACCAGTTAGTATTTGACTAGAATATGTGATATGATGGCCAATTGTTTTTTTTTTTTGGTCTATATACCTATTGATGCACAAAGTCTATAAATATCATTAAAGGGACTCGGACTTAAATATGCATTGCGACTTTGAACTTGCTTGACCACTGCTCCACAACCACAGTTTGTGTCATATTGATATAGTAGTTTTCGATGATGAATTGGTCATTTGATATCATTTTCCTTTTGCGGTGGAATAGAATCGTATAATTGTTTTTCTTATATAAACAATAAATTTTTGGACATTTCAAATTTAGTTGAACTAATATGACACTACATGAGTCTGCTCATGATCACTAAAAGAAAAATAACTTTTAGCGAAAGATAATCTAGTCGTTAAAAGTTCAAATTACAACCAAATTTTTTTTATCGTCACCAATCGTTAAAAACTTTATCATTAAAAGTTTTTTCGTTAAAATTTAATGGCTGAATTCACAATCGGATCGTTAAGAATCCTTTAGAGACGACTAAAATTACGATCGTTAATTTTTTTTTATCGACAAAATTTTCCTTCGCTAATTTCTAGTTAAGTATTTAGCAATCCCAACATTAAAGATCCAATCAGTCGATATACAATCAAATGTTAACTGATCTTATCAAATATATTAAGTCATTCACATATAATATATTAAAAAATTATGTAAAATTGTACGTAAATCACAAGTAGTTCATATGGAAGCTACTAGAAGAAGAAGAAGAAGAAGAAGAGAGATTCCATTATTGAGCTTGAAAAGTCTAAAAATACAATGAAGAAGAGCATGTATTTATAGCTGCTTTTGTAACTAATTACTGTAAGAGCTAGTTACACAAACTTTAACAACAAAGACTATTCTGCCCTTAATGCTCTTAACCACCGTTTAGCTCCTTACTTAATCAACTAGATAATCTGCTAATATGATAAAGTATCATTACTCCCCTTCAAGCTAGGAGGGGTAAAGATGTTCAACCCACCTAGCTTGGATAACAAATACTCATGTTGACTTCTGGACAACCCTTTTGTTAAGACATCTGCTGGTTGTTCTTATGTTTGTATATAGTTCACTTTGATTGATCCCTGTTGTATCCTTTCTCTTAAAAATGACAATCTATTTCTATGTGTTTTGTCCTCTCATGGTAGACTGGATTTGCAGCAATTTGTATGGCTATTTTACTATCACTATATACTTGTATTGGCAACTGCACTTCAGCTCCTACTTCCTTTTCCAAGTAACCATACTAGTTCAGACACAGTAGAGGCAAGACTCTTATACTCAACTTCAGCTGAACTCTTGGGGACTGTGGTCTGTTTCTTTGCTTTCCAAGACACCAAAGAATTACCTATCTTGACAATGTAGCCTGTTATAGATCTTCTGGTGAATGGTCAAAAGGCCCAGTCTGCATCACAAAATGCAGTAACTACTTCATCTGAAGAACTAGTCAATAGTACACCATGTCCAGGTTGCCTCTTAAGATATCTAACTACCCTTAATGCAACATCCATGTGTGACTTCTTTGGTTGCTGCAAGAATTGACTTAGAGTTTGAGTACTGAATGATATGTCTGGTCTTGTCATGTTCATATACAATAATTTCCCAATCAGTTTTTGATATGTTGTCTGATCTACCAACTGATCTTTAGGAGTCTTCTTGTTTTTCATTTGCTCATTATATTGCTTTGATGTTAGTTTGACATTAACATCAATAGGAGTTCCTGTAGGTTTGGCTGCTGACATTCCTACTTCATCTATAAGTTCCAAAGTGTATTTTCTCTGATGCATAAGTATACCTTCTGCTGATCTAGTGAACTCAATACCTAGGAAGTATTTTAGCTCCCCTTATATCCTTCATCTTAAAATCCTTTTGCAATGCCTGTTTTGTCTCCTCTATCAACTTAAGACTGCTACCAGTGATCAACATATCATCTACATATACAAACATAATTACTATTCCAACCGATGATTTGTTAATAAACAAGGAGTAGTCATATTGACTATGTCTGAACTTGAGATTAACAAGAGATTCGGTCAACTTTTGATTCTACTGTCTTATAGCTTGTTTAAGCCTATACAAAGACTTTGTCAGTCTGCATACCTTCTCCCCTTGACTGACAAAACCTTGAGGAAGTTGCATATAGATTTCATCCTCCAGATCACCCTGCAGAAAAGCATTAAAAATATCCATATGATGGATATGCCACTGCCTTGAGGCTGCAAAAGACACTATGGACCTTACAGTCACCATTTTAACATCTGGTGAGAAAGTCTCCTTATAATCAATACCCTCTTGTTGACTATACTACCCTTTAGCAACCAACTTTGCTTTGAATCTTTATAATTCACGTGTAGCCTTATACTTAATTTTGTATGCCCATCTGCATCCTATAGTGTAACGACCCAAACCGTCGTTATTTAGGGAAAATAAAAAATTAGGGAATTCTAGACCACTGTCCCGTCAAGGCGGGACAGATGCCGCTAGGGCGGCAGTGCCACAGCGGGGAAAGTAGTTGCCAGGGCGGGATAAGCGAGGCAGAATGTAAATAACGCAAATTTTTATTCCTTATTTCTTCCTAAATACCTTAATTAGTCGTAAAACACCCTAGAAACCCCCAAAAAGCTACTCCAAGCTTGGGAAAAATGGAGAGAGATATTTCTAGCATAAGGATGTCGATGGATTGCGGATTTCCGGTCAAGATCACCGTCATGAGTCCCAGAAACAAAAATCGAAGACCAAAACTCTATGCCCACTGCGTAGTATGATGATAATCAATGGTAGGATTCATGCGTAAGCCTTCGTGCACCGAACAAAAGATGATTAAATCGTAGGAAGAAGCCTTAGATGATGAACTAGGGCTGGGTATGGTCTAGTTAATGTTTATATTATATACGTCGATGAATAGTTGTAGGTGATTGTTGTGATTCTATGATTTGGTGATGTATGTTTGTTTTTGCTTCATTATGATACATGTTTGTATACGAATGTTGCATTATTGATCACATTAATAGTAAATGAGGATATATAAATGATGAATTCCATGAATCATGAGTTGATCGTATGATTATGAGAGTGTACTTTGTGATTGTGATTGTGGCTTGTTGAATGAATCGGGTGTTGCGTTCTGACATACTAATTTAGATCGGTTGCCACGTTTCAGCATAATTATAGGATCGATTGCCATGTTCCGGCATAAAACATTGGATCGGGTGTCACGTTCCGATATGCTAACAGTTTGGGTTTGGGATCCATGAGAGAACCAATGACTTGACATATTGTATACTTGAAACGGTGAAGTTGTATGTAGTTCTTAATGGTACTAACATTGCATTGATCCGGAAGGTTAAATGATTTTGCTGACCTATATATGTTGGTTCGATTATGTTGATTTAACCCGATATGTATCTCGTAGTTGAATGAAATGAGAAGGGCCAAGGGAACAAGAATTGTTAAGGTTTGTGAGACAAGGGATATTTGTATGTTGCAAGGGTGAGAAGTGGAGGTAGTATGCATGTTGTAAATTCTTAATTGAATTTCACCTTGGGGAAAGGGGTTCGTAGTTAGTAGTTAGAAGGCTTGATATAATGTACCATGTGGCAAGGACTGGGAAAGATAAAAGAGAAAGTAAGGGTATGTCGTGGGTAGTTAGTCGAGATGCTTGTAGTTATATCTGTGGACTTTTCTATGCGTTAGAATGGTTAGGCTATGATCAAAAACCTAGTAAGTAGGTTGAATGGGAAGGTGGTTACTAGTGTATTTCTAAAGTATTCAAAGGTGGGTAAGGGTGGAGAAGCGAGTGGTTTATTGTATGTTCTTGCTAGTTGATTTCTTATTTTATGCGGTGGGAGTCGGGTTGACTGATGATGCCTACCAGTACGTGTGTTTGTACTGATACTACTCTTGCTATGTCTTTTTGGCATAGTCTGGATGCAGGTTGGTGATGTTTCATTAGATGAAGACGAAGAATTCTCCAGCAGCTTCTACTTTTCCTTCAGCATGGTGGGAGCTGTGTATTTTATTTATTATGTCCCGTTTGTACTCTTAGTAGCTCTTGCACATATTTAGACTAGAATCTTGGTGGTGTTAGTTACTTTATAATTTTTAACTCAAAATTGTTTAAAAGTTTTACTTATAAAAACTCTATGATTTCATTTATCTCCGTTTTTCGTTAATTTTCCACATGTTTTAATTATTAGGATATGAGGATTCTCCTACTTAGGTGTTAGAGCGGGTGCCTGCACGGTCCGGTGGGTTGGGTCGTGACAAATTGGTATCAGAGACCAAGTTACCGGTCTCCCAATACAATAGTAAAATGTGGAATAGACTCCTAAGGATTGGTGTGTTGACATCCACACCTAATCTTCAGGAAGCTATAAAGCATTCTAGAAAGTTGTCTCATCCTTTTTCTCCTTTCGTGCGAGTGTCATTTGTGGTATGAGTTGAGTCCAATTGGTATCTCCCGATTCCAATTAGTATCTCAACGAAGTAGACTAGACGTCGTGGTGATGACTCAAGGGACACAAGCAAAGTTAATTGAAACTGAGAAGGTTCCAATTGGTATCTGGCCTTAGGGGTTGTATAAGGCATAGATGATCCGTAATGGTCATCTATGGAACGAACTAACTAACAAGGTGAAATTGTTGTGATGTGTAGTTTGTAACTATGAATGCGTGCTTCTTCTCGTTTGAAATAATCGTGTGAATTCCTGGGTGTATCCTGGGAATGAGTGTGTTGTAGTACTGAAGTAATGTGAAGGGATTTGGGGAGCGTGTATTGTTGGGTTGACTCGGGGTAGACATCGACTATCTAGCTAAGGGAAGTACTCTAATAATGCATGTGTTATAGCTGGAAACCGTTGGGGATGTAGAAAAGAAAAAACCCTAGAAAATTGTTGACAGGGGTTCTGTTTCCGTTATGGCCGCTGGGGCGGGATTTTTCCCGCCAAGGCGAGGCCGCCAGAGCGGGACAGGGCGAGGCAGAATCTCAGCCCTGTCTCCCCTGTTTTTCCTAAGTTGCAAATTTAGACCCCGAATGGTATCCGAACTAACCCCTGCAAGTCAATCAATGATCAACAATAAAACAGTAAGTCATAACTTTAGTATTTAAGTATCGGTTGTGTCAGGCAGCAAAAAGAAGCATCTACGTGCTTACAAATCATAAGGAAAGACGAAAAGGTAAAGGGAAGTCTTGTTCTAAATTACAAGCCCAAGGAGGGCGAAAAGCCAAATCAAGAACCCTCGGACTGGGAGGTGTCAACATCGGAGCATAGATCCTCCGGAGGTACCAGACCGATCGCTGCCTCATTTATAAAAGTAAAATGCTTAAAATCCCCCTTCTCGATTTGGGGAAGCTCCTGATTAGGGGTGACACAAGTGAATATGGTCCTCACGGCCTTCCATATCCAAACCATTAGACGATCCCTCTCCAGACCCTTCCTTCTCTCCTGGCGCAGCTCGCGATGGAGTATGTCGACCTCTAGGGCAGTGCTGGGTGGAACTAGAGTGAAGTCAGCAACAACACTCCCCAATCTCTTTCGGACGGCCGCCAGATTCTCCTCGACTTATGCACTTGAGAATGGGGACTCGTCGTCCGAATCCACGACCGTCTTACTGCTGTTAGACTTGCCCGTTCTCCTCATCTTGCTCTTGGAAGTAGAACATGACCTAACCAAAAGGGGGTGAAGGGGGGATCCATAGGAAGTACCTCATCGGCGTTAAAAAGTGGAACCCCCGCCCGTTTGCACAGCGCGGTGATGAGTCTCGATAGGAAGAAAGCCTTTTTGTTGCCGCGGTAGAACATCTTCCACTCCGAAATGATCTGCGCCCCCACATTTAGCTTTATACCCTGTATGGCGCACGCCACCACCAAAGCCCGAGGAAAGGTCACGTCGGTACGGTTGCCCGACGTGCGGATCCTTCTAGTGACCAAGTGTAGCCACCTCTTAGCATCAAGTGACCAATCTGTGCTAGTAATACCCTCTGCAGTAGCCCACTAGACCTGATCCGGGCGCGTAGGCTCAATCAGAGTGTCTCTCAACCAACCTAGATCCATCTTCCTCAGCTTAGCCTCGTACTCCGCATTCGAGGCCTCGGGCACCTCTAGCGCCTCATTGATGGATGTGGCATTAAGGGGAATGTCAACTCCCCGGATATAGATAAGGGATGAGGATCGTCCCATCGTACAGTGGGAAGGATAGCGTAGAACTCTCTCACCCAAGTGGAACGTGCATCCGGGGGAGCCCAATCAGTGGAGTCCATTCGAACTCCATCAGGCGAGCATAAAAGGCAGGCGCTTTCTCCTCCAGCTTGAGTTAAACGAAACCTCTCTCACAGAAGAACCTTGTATTTCTATTGTCGTGATGCCTCTCTAGACCTGCGGCATCGGGAACCGAACGAAAGATAAGTTTTCCTCATTTAGACCAGCCATTTAGAGAGACTGCATGTACGTAAATCACAAGTAGTTCATGGAAGCTACTAGAAGAAGAAGAAGAAGAAGAGGAGGAGAGATTCCATTATTGAGCTTGAAAAGTCTAAAAAATACAATGAAGAAGATCATGTATTTATAGCTGCTTCTGTAACTAATTACCGTAAGAGTTAGTTACAACAAACTTTAACAACAAATACTATTCTGCCCTTGATGCTCTTAACCACCTTTTAACTCCTTACTTAATCAACTAGCTAATCTGCTAATTTGATAAAGTCTCATTAAAAATAATCAATTTCTATATAAACTTGATAGTTAATTATAAAATGAAATAAAGTATCCTAATTCGTTAGTTCCTAACTCTATTGAAGATTGCGCACATGTGAACTTCAAGCAACTCCCTATCAACAAATGTATAATGGTCATGAACTTTCCATTAGCTACACAACCACTCTAACTTCGAATTGCTCTATTTTAGCAGCAATGGTAAATAAAGGAAGATAAATAAAAAGTCCAAAAGTTCAAAAGATCTCAAGGCATCTCATTTCATAAGCCAATGTTTATTGGTTTGATTGCTTGCGTTGTTAGGTAATGTAAATAGCTCATAGAGAAAAAATAAAATACAAATTATTTATTTATTGATATTGACTTAGTCTTATTATTTAAAGGTTGAACTCTTACGTAACTTCCTAGAGTTGGCATCAATTTTCATTTAGATATTTTAACCCTGCTGTGTCATTTTGACATTTTTTCACAATATTTTGTTGACCCTATGCGCGTGTTGACCAAACATGTCCACGTGGATTAAATGACCAATTATGTTATGC